GCAGTCACACTAACGGCAGATATGCTTCCACCCCAGTTCTAATGGATCCCAAAGGCACCATCGTCTTTTCCACCATCAGCAGGCCAAACTATGGCTTTGACGTCTTCTTCGTCCAACTAAACCACATCACTGCTGCCATTAAGGACCGCCTCACTGATGGCTGCTCTGTCAACTTCAACGCCCAATTCGTTGATGAAGACCAATCCGTTGTCTTTGTCTCCGAAAGATCAAGATCGCCCCGAATCTATCTCACTCGCCCTGGCCTACCCAATCCCGAGGAGCTAGCATCCGTGCCCCACAGCCTCTTTCACGACCATCCTATCCTGAAGAACAACCACCTCTACTTTGTTTCAGCTCAAGAGTAACCCGATCGCCAATTCCAAAGCTGGGCAGCTCTTCACTCAACTGAAATCGATGATAAGGATAAGAAAATTACGCGGTTGACCCTTTACGGAGCCGTCGATCATAGCCCTACAGTTTCCAAGTCTAGGAAATTTCTTGTCGTCGCATCTTATGGGTCTCGCTCGTGGGGCGGTGAATTTCACGAGCTCAACATGGATATAGTTGTTTTCCCAGAATCCGACTTGAGGATGATGACGATGATTCAAGTGATGGCGAGGATGATGAATCAAATGCTGAGAGCGATTTGTCCGACGATCGTTGGCTGAGGTTGATTCGGACGATGAAAGCCTCATCCCCGTCGGTGAGAGCGAAGAGTGCAGACGAAATTCATTTCAAAATTGAAATTCATGGGTTTGAGAGTGAAATTGAAATACACGGAATTTACTCTTTAAAATTACTTTGTTGAAATGCATGTATTTCATGTAAATCCAATTACTTTCTGTTTAGGTGAAAACAAACAGTGATATTGAATTTTAACCTTTCAAATTCAAATACATTCTTTTACATTCATGTTACCAAACGGACCATCACTGAAATTAGCAAGGAAGATTGTGGTGGCAAAAGATTAGCAAGATTGTGCAAATCACCAGTGAAGAGATCGTGCAACAGTTTTGACCTTAAGCAGAATTGGAATCCAAGTGGTAGGCTAATTTCAGTTTTCATAATCTTGTTCGTTGGCTTTATTGTAGTGTATGGTTAATTGATGCTAGTAGTGTATTGATTGTTTTACACGCAGATCCTGAGCAAATGAGTGCTGTGAAGGATTTTGGAGTAAAAACAAACCAAATTCAATTACTTTTTATTGAAGTAAAAATAAACAGTAATATTGAATTTGAATTTCAAATTCAAATATATTACAGCAAATTCATATTTTTAAACATACATAAAAGAATTTTGATAAAACAAATAAAATTTCATATATAAATTTAAAAATAAATCATTTATGTTAAATTAATAAATTTATAAAAAATTACTCATTTATTA